AAAATGGTAACAGGGTTACGTAGCCCTATGAACGTGGGACAGAAAAAAGCATTGGATGATAGGTCTATTCTATACCTAGTCGGTGGTAGTATACATATACGTGCTTAATTTGGCGAATACAGTGAACGCGGATATGCAATCATAATTAAAATTTTAATTATTTATAAGGTTTATTGTGAAAGATGGATAGATGTAGAATTTGTGATTCCATCTACCTGCTTTGGGTCTCCACTCGCAGCAACCTCCTCGTGGTGAGTCAATCGGTATTATCCTCGATCGAAAATATTGTGGAAGCAACAGTTTCTTCGTGTATTATAGCTAGATTTTTATTGTCTATTTTATAGAAACTGGCATCAAAGAGAAATTCCTTTACTTTATTAAAGGTACTATTAGGTTCTAAATAAAACAAATACATCATCAAAGTTCATTAAAAATTTTTGTATCCTAAGATTTAAACAATCATATACGCTATAAATGCATAAAATCCGCAGTCTAATTAGTCTAATTCTATAGCATACAAAATTGTCTAAAACAGTGGTTCCCAAAGTTTTTGAAGGCGCGACCCCATTTTGGACGAGACTTTTGCTTGCGACCTCCCAGATGGTCGTAACTCACGTTAATCTTTTTATCTAAATATAAAATAAATGTATATCAACACGGTTTTTTTTTGTTTTACTTTGTAAAACCTCTTGCGACTCGCAGTTATTCTTGCGTCCCCCTAGGGGTTCGTGACCTATACTTTGGGAATCATTGGTCTAAAACTTAGTACATACAGTAAAAAGTTTACTAAAGGTCACTGAAGTTTTTATTTTATTTAGGTTCAAATTATTGTTTGATTCCAATTTCTGTGAATGAATCAATAAGTGTTTGTACTTACATAAACATCTACAGTCTATTAATACGTATCCTAAACTAACCTACATGTTAGGATCGAACAGAACAGGTGATGAATAAACAGAAAACCGTCGAAATGAATGAAGCACAGCCACATTATAGATTATGATAGAATTTTTATTATCACTCGATGACTAGATAATAATATAAAGATCCGTAGTAACTCGTGTCGATGAAATTATGAACTGCGCCAGTCACGCGAATCTTTTTCCTTTCTTATGTTTTTGTTTTTGTCTCTTAGCGAAACCCGGCGAGGAGCATGTGTATTCGGTTCCCGTAACTGTACAACATATAATTCTCCTATCCGACGGGATTAATACCTAGATTCTCGTCGTTTTTTTCCTCTCAAGTAATCGAATTCTCGCGGGTAAAACAAATTGGGGACGACGTATATACAAGTCTACCGTGATAATTGGATGGGCGTCTAGAAGAGGGGCGTGTGTTTTAAATTTTTCGCTAAGAGTTTCCCGTGGAACAAGGGCCAATGTGACGTAGAAGACGTTTTGGCAAAGTTTTTAGAGTACACGACAATGACACTAGAGGTCACGGAGCTGCACGAAAAAACTGAATTATTATTATTATTCTTTCATTGCTACGAGTGAGCAATGAATTGGTTTCTTCGTTTTCCTGTAAATTTTATGAAATGTAACATACGCCCTCCTTCTAGACACCCGTTCAATTCATCCTTTACCTCAGTCCTTGTTTCTGTCGCGTAATAACGCGCTAAACGGGTACTTCTTCGAATAATACGAGGCAATACAAGTTTTTTTGGTTGTTAAAAATAGTTCAGAAGTGTTAGTAATTTTACTGACGTATGTATACAGTGTTCAAATGATTCCCGCCGATAGGTTACGCCGCCACGTCGATTTGCGAGCAGCAAGAATCAGTTGTTCACTCTCTACAAATCGTTTGAAGCGCGCCGCACATTATCACACGTAAATACACAAAGTTAGCCGTCGATCGGAGACTGGAATCGATCGATCGAAACTGCTGCTTTTGATTATTATCGATTCTTCTGTAAATCTAGCCATGCTCCATGAAATACGTCTTTCGCGCTTATATTACATATACAATTTATACAGAACGGCGCGTATATCCGTCGAGACGAGGGCACAATTGACATTTTGGTATGACTTTTGATTATACATGTTTGTCAATACTTTACGGACAGTAAATTCAATCGAACGACAAACGTATCGAATTATAAATTCTGTTCAAATAATTAGGAAAATTATAAGTTAGGTTTCGTGGGTATTTACACAGTCTCGAGAAGCAGTGGAAACTTCACGCGACTTTCCGTAAAGCGTTAACTGTGCAATCGAGCGTTCCTCTAAAGCCAGATCGATCGACCTATCTCGATCAACAGAGGTTTCTTTTTAACGTTGCAAATTGACGTTGGTTGCATAAAAAGTAAAATTATCGGATGCTCGGTTTCACCAACGGCAATTGAAAGATCCACACGAATAAACCCCTTTCGTTCCTTTATAAATTTCGTTTCTATTATTTAAACCCTTTCCTTTCTTTGTCGAATGATTTCGAGCCCGTTGACAGAACCGAGCAACGATCTGATAAATCACGAAAAGGGAACTTACGTTTCGGTGACAATTCGGTAGGTCGTTAAGATTACGCCGCACATTTTCAAAAAATTATCGTAGATCGGAACGTTTGAATTCTAACCGTCACGCGCATGCGCCATCTGTCGAGCGTCTGGAGCAACCCACCGATCGGAAACAATTTTTCCGTAACAAAACCGTAGACGTATAATCACTAGACTCCGCATACGGCTGAAAAGCGATCAAATATTACAAGAAAAAAAAATAGCATGCTCTTGGTCATCGTTCTGCCTTTGTCTGACATTAATTCTTTTTGAATCGCCTTATTATTCTCTGTTTCCCAGGCAACGAGGACTTTTTTTTACTGCACCCACGTAGAAGAAGACAGGTTGGTGGGCGTATAGCAGTTATCTCTGTCTAACTGCGGGAATACATTAAAATTACGGCGGTATAGATATTATACGTCTATGAATGAAACACTGTTAACGATTCATACCCGACTGTCATTCGATTACAATTGGAAATTGCGTCCCGACACTTTATTTTCCGACCCGTTCAAGATGGAAAGCACCGAGCAACGAATCGGTGGTTCCTGTATTGACGCGCGTTAATCTCATCCTCACCATTCCGTGTCCCGAAGTCGACTCACAATGAGCGATTCACGGCGAAAGTGGAGGAATTCCGTAATCGCTTCCGATTGATCGCGAAAATGGCCAACTCTGTAGCACTAAATTTGTACACGGTATGATATCGAATATTTTTTATGGCAAAAGTAACAATACATTAGGTCGTTCGGAAACTTCGTAACACTTTTAACCCTCGAAAAGCACACCTCACCTCAGCATACGTAAACACCGCACTAGCGCGAATTGGGATTTTGAATTTACCATGATTTTAAGAACTTGACGAGAATAAAAACGAATTGAACTTATAATATATTTTTTAGGGAAAATTTCAAACCGTTATTCTAGATAGAATGTTACAGACGAAACAATGTTCTGGGTCAAATTCGCACTGGTGTGGTGTCTGATGGTTAAAGGTAGATGCAGTCTATAGCTTTTAATTTTCTTATTTCTTATTTTCCATTTCATTAGCAAACTTCCTCCCACTGTTCGGGTAATTTTATTACGCTAATTGATCGAAGTCTATCGTTTTGGTAAAAAATTTTTTAACATATTTTTTGGATGATTTTTCAACTTCTGAAGCCTTTTCCTGATACTGAATATTTCAGCCATTGGAACGAATAATCATCTGACAGAGTAGTGTCCAGAGTCCAAGTAAATGTAAAATTTCTCAGTCGATCTAAAGTAATTCCTGTTTCACGTTTAATACAGGACAATGGAAATATACTATATTGCACAACGCAGACTCTTAGAGTTCATTACATCAGTCGATTGTTTATTTTTTCAATGAAAAGGTATTAAAAACACTGTACGCTAAAACGCTACGAATTTTCCGACCAATCTAATATATCGCGATCGAATTCAACATTGACCTTCGATATACTTCCAAACGAACCCACTAATAAAAAATATGGAAAAAATCCCTCCACTGAACATTCTGAGGAGTTTACTTTGAAGAAACGGTTAGTGCTTCAGGCTTCTCGAATTTCCATATTGAGTTTCGTATTGCGGACGGCGTCGCTCGTGCGAAGATCACTGTACGCCGATCCTCCTTCTTCCTTCTCTTATTTAGAGTACGATAGAATCTAATCTGAACTATTTACAATAAACGACACCCGAAACTCGTAGGCGTCACGTAAGCGCGGTATACCACAGAAACGTGTCCCCCACGGACGTTCGCCATAATAACGACGTACAATCGCGATTCCACGGCCGGATTCGACGGAATTCATTACGAAAAGGTAAAATGTAAAAGTTAGCCCCCGATCGAATGCTGTCCTTTCGAAATATTTCGTTCGGTACCGATCGAGGCCCAATACGTATGTTCGAAAGGGCAGATTATCGTGGACCGTTCTTCGACCCGATTTCGTCGGGACGCATCGTTTCGGACCGAACGTCCGGTCGGGCGACACGCACAAAACTACCCTAGGTTTTCTTTTAATCGACGATTAAACTCCATAGTACCGGGAAACGAGGAACTTGTACATAAATATATTTAGATTAATCGTACTATCGAATGCGTTATCGGTAACGAGCGTATCTAGAAACCATAACGGTTACACGACAGCAACACACCGTGTGCGACGTGATTCTGACGTTCCGAGAGACCGGCCCGAGGGACGGTGCGGAAGTACGGGTCTGGAATCTCAACTCCCTGGCTCGAGTCGGTCCTCGATCGACCCCGTCCTGATCGACGCCTCGGTTTCGATGACGATCCGTTCAGTGGGTCAATGGGAACAACACCGAGATCACCTCATGGCTCGAGGATCCAACGTCGTGGATCGACGTCGGTGGACGTGGTGGTTGGTCTGACGACGTACGGCACTCTTTGTCTATCGACTGAGTCCTGGATGGTCGTAGGGGTTGTCAGGTGAACGCTTTGTGCCGATCCGTTCTCTCGAACGGTATCTGACGACGCGCACGTCTGCCGGGTTATGTGCCGTAGTGGGAATGGTGGTGAGCGTGGGGAGGTGGTGGTTCGCCGAGCCATGAATCGGGCGAGGGTGGAAAGTCCGGGTAACCACCTCCGCCACCACCGCCACCGCCTCCGCCGCCGCCGCCGCTCGATTCGTTGCTCAAATCCGACGCCGGTCCCGGTACCATGCTGCCAGCGCCACCTGGAAGGATACATACATCGTGCGAATAGAATGGTCCTTTGTCGCTCTAAAGGGAATCTAGAGGAAGATTGGTTGCGGATGAATGCATGCGATGTCTCGTTCGGATAGAATTGCTTCGGGAGTATATTGCGCGAAGATTATTTTCGGTGGCTCTAGATCGAATATTTCTATTGATATCCCAAAATAAGAGACCCAGATAGCACACAGATCTAAAAGAGCCGTAAAATAGGCGTCTACCAGGCGTCATGTGCTATCTGGGGAATAATGAAAAAAAATTTAGCAAGTGTAACAGATTTTCTATTTGTGAACAATTTGTGACATTTCGATTTATTTTCTTTATACAGAATCACCTTTAGTTCGTTTTATATTATTATCGACAGATCACTTTATCTAGGGCAGAGTTTCTCAAACTTTTTCTGCAATGGAACACTTCGCAAACCCGGAAATTTTAACGGAACACTTAGCTTATTTTCTAGATTGGGTAATTGTTACTAGTAACAATTAAAAAAAAATGTTATTAAAACACATTATTTATTTAGTAATTATTTTTAAATATAAAACTATAATATGATATAAACATAAAAATATGAATAAATAAAGCATTTAATGACTTTGATGATAAAACCTTTCCAAATTGTCGCGGAACACAGTTTGGGAAACCCTGATCTGGGGTATCCAAAAAGGTTAGGTCCAAACTTACACTATGTGTTAATGAGGTCGGATAGGTAAGAAAAATTCATATAAACTTATGTCTGAAAATGCTTTATTGAAAAGCTATAAGCGTTCAATGATTTTTGTCAGTTGTTAGGGCAGTTAAAATAAATGTTTCAAAAACTATACATTCTTTTAAACACCATTCAATGCATTTTTTAATTCTCTACAAAAAAGTATTAAGGTACTTGGGTCGGAAATTGATAAATACGAATGAAGACATACATATAGAGAAGAGACACACAAGCCTAGGTCTAAACAGTATACAATAACTCCTCGATCAGTGTTGGAAGGTTTCTCGGCACTGAATATTAAATATTTATATTAAAGGTTTGTATGAACTTTTTATACATATTCGACCTCATTACCTCGTAGTATAAGTTTGGCCTTGACGGTTTTTTATGAACATTGATCATCGTAACTTTATTTTGAAATTCTTACGGTGCAGTTCTAATAATCGATTGGTAGTTTTTAGTGTGACAAAATTTCGACTTACCGAGAGTTGTGTAGACGGAGAGGCCAGCGTCCGGTGGATATGGAAACTGAGGTGGTAAGGACGGTGATCTGGACGTTGAGAGATAAGGGGGAGTTGTTGCACCTAAATATCCGCGTGGAGGACCCCCGCCAGCCCCATTTCCACCCCCACCTGGACTCGCGCCTTCGCCATCTAATCCCATGTTCACCACTGTGCCGTAACTGTCGTTACTCAAATCTAAATGCAAATATTCAATCGATTAATCACCCATCGTCTACAAATTTCTGTTTAATATCGTCAGTAAGTTATTACCCATATATTTATTATAATGGTATATTAAATGCTTCTGATTTGTTGGGTAACAAATATTCATTACAATAAAAGTTTTAGAAGCATTTTGTAATTTGTTCATGATAGCAATATAGATTTTCATGTTGTTTTAGAATAATTTGCGTGAATAAATAAATAAATAGAATTTATCTTAGATTGTTAGGTTTTTAGAAAAATGATTCAATGGTGTTACAATTTGAGCGTCTGAAACTCATGTGTACAAATGGATTCAATTTATTATTTTATAAATTATGAATATATACATTATGATACTATCGATTTTACAAATGGTTTTTAATATAAAGTGCATATAATTTTTTTCTTGTTTCTAGATCTGAAATCGATTCTGCCAGCAGACTTTTAATTAACATACAATTTGAAATACACTTAATTAAAAAATTTTCAATTCTCGTAGGATAAATTACACTGAATCGATAAAATTAGGGGCTAATTAGGCAGAAGAATTATAAATTCTGCTAGTTATTTTTGTTCATCGGGGAATGTGTATTCAGTAATGAATCGTTTTAATATTTAAACAATGGTGGAAGTTTGCATGACTTTACGACGCGTATGGTTAACGGTAGGCATAAATTCGAGGATGGCCCGCAATCTTCTTGAAATCTCGGACACGGTGAACTGGCAGTTAGCCTCCACGAACCCTTGAATAATTGACGAGATCGTCTTCCCCTCTGTTAAACGCTCGAGTACACGAAAGCGTAGATGTGACCGGCACTGAAGTGAAAGCAAGACAGGGAGAAAATAATTTTTCAAACTACTATACCCTTTTCTCGTGTTCCGTCTTTAAAATATGTATCTCAGAATATAATTATCGTAGATTTTATTTCGAAAATGTCACGACCAAATTCGTTCAGTATTAAAAAAATATGTGCCATTGAGCGACAGATTAGAAGGTACAACCAAGTAAACTGTAAAGTATTAAATAACGTGTAGATTGTTCATTATATGGAATTGAGTTGCACAATGCGTAGTGTTCGTAAAAATTTCTCACGAGTCTATAGTGTGTGTTGATAAATAGTTTAATTTCTTGTTCATAGAAAAATAAAATCATTAATGGACAAAAATTCGTTTTTTTTTTATGAAGAATGTTGAGAACACTGTTGACTTATTTGCAACGACTGTCTCCAAAGAATCTTTTGTAACTTATTATTCATTTTTTCAGTCTCTGAAAATATTACTCTACAGTTGATCTCAATCTTTTTATTGAAAATTAAACCTTATAGAATTTGTACCATCAACTTTTTCTATGCAATCTGTATACTGACATAAGATATCTATTAATAATCACAATTTATTCTTAGACCAATAGAAATATATACTGAATTTGGCAAAAGATGTTGAACGTGTTTCTCCTAAATAAATATTTGGGAATGATTATACGCAGACAGATAATGAATTTCTTTAATATGACAGAAGTACTTAGGTACTTTTAGCTCACCATAACAAAATGTAACAGAAACGTGTTTCATCATAACAAAATGTTCGCTACGCGAATATATTCGAGAATCCTTTGCCGCGCTTTTCACATTTTCTCGTTTCACGAATCGAAGGGGGATGCTTGCACACACTAGAGGGGAGGACCGCGTACATTTTGCGATATTGGAAGTACAAATAACGCGTTATTGGTCGCTTTTCAGTGCTACGTCTAACGATGCAGAACGATTTTTTTGAATACGAAACCAGTATGGTGGTTTCATAGTTATGCCACACAGTGTATAAACCATTATAGTATTATAAGCCTTTGTAATAAAAAATCTGTAACTTGACTTTTTAAGATTGTATTTAAGTGCTTCAGAACTTTTGAACGGTAGTGTATGTACATATAAATGATAGATACAAAATTCAGGGTTAAAGTTCAAAGACAAAACTATTCTACATAATTCTTTAACCGTGTTAGATGGATATAGTATTATTCGGGGGTTTCCCCAATTCCTAAATCGTGTTAGAACGAAACCTTGTTATGGGAGTGCCGTGTCAGACGGGGGTTGCCTGTATGAATATTTAAAAAAATTGATTGCTATTACGTACCGTGGTGACTGAAAGTAGAATCAAGATCGACTTTGAGTTCGTCTTTATCGAGGAGTTTGTCGTGTCTAGGTGAATGTCCACCAGCGCCTGTCCCTTTCATATTTCGGAAATACTGGGACCATCTAGTCCTGCCCGCATCTTTTTTCAGTCTCTTTTCCTTTGCTCTCCTATAAAGACAGATAAATGTAATTATTTATTTATAATTAACAATTTTTTTCTCAATAATTCTATTAGCAGACTGCAGATGTTTACGTGAATTTACCTTTTTTGGGACTAACATTGTACATGAAAATGGAAATTAAGTAAAAATCTATTTTCTTTATTAAGAGTTTTGAGCTAGAAAGACGATGAAAACAATAATTAAACTACTAAAGTCTATATCCAATTGTATATAAAGTAAATATAAAATTATTAATGTGTATTTAAAAGAAAATATATTAGTAAACTGTTTTTCTAGAAATAACACTATATGTTAGTAATTGATAGTTATAACAAATGTGTAACATAAAAAATTAGAACATTAAGATTTTAAGAGACACTCCTAGTATTAAAGGCACAAGAATAATCTTCTACCATTTGCTTTGTGTCATTACTGATTTCACAATTCGATATTCCCTATTGATTTTTTGCCTCATTTTATTACCTAATTTTGGTTCTATTTCTATTATTACATATATGTGTCTTTCGTGACGCATCTAAAATATTCAAAAAATTGTCCCTCTCTGTGAAAGTAAACCAAAACTATTAAATTACTTAAAATTACTAAAAAAAACGAGATATTTCATTGTTTGAGATAAAAATAATTTACTTAGAATGATAATTATTATACTCTATAAAGAAAAGTTTTCCTGATAACAGTGGGAGACTTGAATGAGTTAGTGATTTATATATATATTGTCACTATTGAAAGATTTACTATAAAATATCAATTTTATCTCCATAAATTTTTAAATGGTTTTAGTTGCAACGAGAATTGTTGAAAGAAGTCATTCCAAGTGCTTGGGCAGAAAAATCTGCCACACGTGTGTATTTTTACAATTTTTACGCTTATTTTATCTGTCTACTTCGATGACAGAAATAACGATAACAGCCTCAACCCTTTTAGAAACCACTGTCACGGACGAGAATCTGTGGGATTAACATTAAAGGCAATTTTTTCAGCGATTATGGTAGGTGCGCGTGTATGTGACAGTACAGATAAGCCGATTTCTCGAGTGGCGTTTGCTACAATATACATGTTTCCAGATGCTGCTTTCTTGATAGAGATAAGAGGAGCACAAGTAGTAAAAACGTCTGATGTCTTGGATCAACGCGATATCTGATAACTTGTGAAACATTGTTCGAATCGTGGCGAATGTTTGTACAGACACATCTCTGCAAAAATTCTGTGACGTATTTACGTGATTCAAAGTAAAATGATTCAAGGGATTTCTCTGAATCTTGATCGATAAATTTCTTTGCTTACTATTATTAATATAATATGATAATTTGGTAACTTTAAACACAGGTAAATTTTGGAATAGATAAGTAACCCAAAGGAAGAGAATTTAATTCGATAAGAAATGTCCTGATAAAAATATTGTACAAATTCCTGCAGTGACTCAATAAGTGGTTAGATAATTAATTATTTGCTTATTGTAGATCAAATTAATGTCGTTTTCTTAACCATACTTTCTCTATAATATTTACATATTACAATTCCGGTATCAAATACAGTAAAAACTGTTAATAACATTGATTCTAGGTTGAATACTAAATGATTTCCTTTACAGAGTAATTGTATTTAAACAATCTGAAATTTGTCAAACATTATTCTACGAAATATCACTTTTTTTTATCAAAAAGTCTTGTCTAGTTTAGGCTTGGTCATCAGGAGGCTGCAATAAATGGCTTCAGGGTTCATGTTGAAACTACTTTCCTATGGTATCCTTAGTGTTTAAAGTATCTCAATGTGTGTATTCAATGGACGGAGTTTACTGAATCGCTCAAATTTGTCAGAAATTTAGTACTGCTTAAAAGTTGGGAGCATAAAAGCTTCGCTTTCTATGCACGAATTCCTTTGATTGCTATTTAAACGTTTTCACGCTTATGGGTTTCCCTTCAACTAGTGCCTATGAATAACACGTTTCAACAGACAGGAGGAACAGACAGAAAAATTGTGATTTACGATTGTACAGCAAAAAAAAAATACAGAACTTGAATACAAAGGATTATTTCAACAAATTTTTTCGTTTGTACAAACACGTTTTTATGTATGTGCTGTTCTTCGAAATATTGTTACTATTGTGAACTTTGTTTTGACTACCAATTTCGAAAACTTACGTCCAATTCTGACAGAATTGATGCTTCGATTTATATCTTAATAAATAATTTTCATACAACTAACAAGGGATGTTCGCGAAATGATAAACGCTGATTTTTCTGTAACTTTGCTCAATTGTTTTTGGGACCAATCTAAGAATTTTGTCGTATTTGGTTCATGCTACTTTTAGACTTTAAGGGAGAAACACCCTTTTTCATACGTAGCGTCCTTTTTACTTATTCGCTTGTAACTGGTGAACTACAAAAAATGTAGACAAAATGTTCAGATAAATCTTATGCCATTTTTGTTTGTCCATTTTTGGTAGGAAAACATTTGCAAAAGAATTATTTTTAAATTGTCAGTAAATACAAATTCTGAACCCTTTGTATAGTAATTACTTCTATTGGTATTCAAAACTATACGACTAGGATACTAAACTGAGAGCACAACTTCTAAGAACCATTGTACATACGTTTGACAATTTCCATTCTGGTATTCGTTACTGATTCTAACTGGTATTGTTTAAATTTGCCGATTTTTCTAATTCGAATAAACGCACCTGTTCTGGAACCAGACTTGAACTACGCGCATATCGAGTCCTGTGTCCTGTGAGAGTTGTTCTCGCACGTGTCTCGCTGGCTTTGGACTGGTGTTGTATGCTAATTTCAGGGTCTCCAGTTGTTTCGCGGTGATCGTCGTCCGCGGCCTTTTATTCGGTTGGTCGCCGTCTATACTGCCTCCGTCGGCCAACTCTGTGAATCGAAACGGCAGACACACGTTTTAACTAGTAGGTACCTACAATTCCATAAAATTATATAACCTAATGTAGTTCGAGAAGTGTTTTTCAGAGAATAAGAATTTGTGGATAATATATTACATGGTCTGTTCGAAAAGCTCCAGAACTGAAATTAAAGCAGTGGTTTTTCGTAAAATCATGATACTCTTCGTCATCAAATATTAAAAATATTTTTCTTTCGAAGAGTTGCTGTACGTAATAATTATAGAAACTCTGGAAATGGATCTGATAATTTTTTTTTCATAAACGATGAAAAGGACAACGGTCGAAGGTTTTGGTTTCACGAGCCACGAATTTACACAGTATTTTGATCTCGAATGGTATTTCACGGTTTGATTATTTACCGTATTCGTCTAATTCAGATACGTCAAAGTAATTCCGGTTACTCAATTTGGAAACGAAGAGAAAGAAACGATAATCTAAAATCATTGTGATATTTAGAGGACTTCGATGACTACTGTCTTCACCATGTTTAAGAAGAATTGCCAGAGCTATTTCCAGTGTTTGTATAATTATCATAAACAATATATCACTCCAGAAAAAAACTACTTTAAATAATTGTAGATAAGAAACGCGAATATCATGGGAAAAAATGCTGTTTAAAATTCAATTCGGAAACTTTCAGGACATACCGTGTTTATGTATGATTATTATTACGTAATTTCGAAAGTCTTCGCGTTTATTTAACACAGGCCAATTTTATTTAAGTGAAGAACGTATATACACGGAAAAATTAGCAATCATTCTCAAAGTTATTTTCTTTTCAATATTCTGCATATCTTGGAATTAATTAAACGATGATTTTTTATAAGGATCGTTTAATGTGTTTTGAAAGTTAGAAATACTTCGTCCATCTCGGAGTTGTGTTCGGAGGACATAATTGTTTCAATGAAATTTTATTAAATATTAGAGGTACCAACAAGTAAGCCACTACTGCTCTTTCATTACGAGAGGATATGTTTTAACACTACAATTATTAAAACAGTCAAAGTGACTGGTTCGTAAAGTCTTATAAAAATAAATATTCATACAGTGTATTTTTTGAGATTTACCGCAATTTTTCTTACAATATATAACTGAAGAAGTTTGTTAGTTTATCAAATTGCACATTTTCAATAGGTTATCCCTTTTACCAACACGATGAAAATAATATTCAATATAAAAGAAAAACAGTATGGCTTCGAAAAGAAACGAGTTCTGATATCGCCAAGAAATAGTAGATTACTTATCGGTACACTTAATATATTTGTTCATATTTCTCAGAACGTGGCCAATTGATGGTTCTAAAAACAATATCTATCTAGGTCTAAACCTAATCTCTGCTTGAACTACTATATTTTTCATTGAAAAACGCGCAAGGTAGTTCAGTGCAGAAAAATCACTGGAAAATATAGCGAAATGTAAATGGCTAGTTAACACGTTTTATGATCTAATTAATTACTCGTCTTAATAATTCAATTGATTTGTTAATGTTTGGAAAAATAAATCGATTAATGACTCAATAATACTACAAATGCATAAACATCCGCAGTCGAATTATGATGTGGTCTGATCATTAGGAAAAAACTACGTAATACGGCCCGTTTGACAAAACGCCTTACTATTGTTTTCTGCACACAAGGACACACCGCTGCAAACGACACGTTCGAATCCGCCTCAGTCGTCCTCAAACGCTGTCAAAGTATAAGTGTCATTATTACGATCCCTAAAAAAATATATTAGGTTGTTGCATAATAAGTGCCAGCGTTTGAACTGCAGAGTTTGAACGATTATGATTAAACTACTGATGTTTAATGCATTTATAACATTTCGTAACCTGCGAATACACAACAAAATGAAAGTTCTAGGAAAGTTTAATACTCTCTGTGTATTATCACTAGCATTCGAAAGCACGTAATAAAGGAAATAAAATTCTGTCGAATTTCAATCGTTGCATATATATGAGCACCTAAAGTTGTGAAATCGTATACACTTCCACACAGTCTAATTAAACTGCGGATTTTGTGCATTTATATCATGCACGATTATCTGAAACTCAGTACTGTAAGATGTATATAAGGTTTTCACTTTACATAAAATCTTTTCAGAACCTTTGATAATAAGTATTTCTTAGATTCCAGTTTCCGTAAACTAGTCTATCAAAATCTATATACATATTTATAAACATCTGTAGTCTAATTATGACTTATGTTGAACAGAAAATTTTCAATCGAAAAAAGATCCATTTGAATCGATAAATTCTTATACCAATGAATCACAAGCTTTTTGATTCAATATTTAACGATTCGTAGGTAAGCGAAGCTCGTTGAAAAACGACATTTATTGTGGAACAACCTAATGCAAAAATTTTCATTATCAAATAAGCAATAGCGAGGCGTTTTGTCAACCGGGACACGTATACCTAGTTTAAAAGCCCAGTTTTAAGCGACTGGATGAAATCGTTTAGTTACCTTTTGCCTTCGCTTGTTCATAATCGGGCTTGCAGACGAGCTTCCTGTCCTCCATTAGGTAGAACTCGTCGCCAGGATCCAGTTGCCGGGAGCAAAGGGCGCAAGAGAAGCAAGTCAGGTGGTAGACCAGCTCCTGTGCCCTTTGTACAAGCTGCGACGGTGCCAATCCTTGGCCGCAGCCCGCGCATTTCGTCCCGAAACGCCTGCCACACCAACAACATCCAACATTTTCACATTACGTTCGCGCATTAGTAAACAGCAACGTGTCGCCGTACTGTGAGTGACACTGCCTCGACAAAAGAAGACCATTAATCACCATATATTCGGTATACAGGGTGAATCACGAATTGCGATCAGTAGATTACTCTGTTATTAGCAGTTCGATGGAAAATATTTTTATCAGGTACAGCATGGTTTCAAGAGAGAGATTTAACGTGATTATAGGAAATTTGTTGTCAACTCTTTTTTTTCATGATTTTTCAAGGTCACCTTCAATTTTTTGCAAATACACCTATAATTTTTTTACGCCTATCTGTTAGAGGATATCAAGACGAATTCGGTAAGTATCATAACATAACATGTGTTAGTTGTACAAAAATTATAGGTGTATTTGCAAAAAATTTAAGGTGACCTTGAAAGATCACGAAAAAAAAAGAGTTGACAACAAATTTGTTATAATCACGTTTTATCAGATTTGGTACCAAACTTTTGTCCGGTGGTGTACTATAGATTTTATGTTATACTATATTATGGTAAATTATATTTATGCTATTTACGATTATTTGTCGTCTGCTGTATCGAAGATTTATACTAATTCTCCGTATTCCGTAAAAAAAAATCCAAAAACACATACATATATCATCGAGAATAAAGGAAAAATCTTTCAGGCCTGACACGCTATAAATAAGGGAAACAAGTCAAACACAAATTATCTTCTTACAGTTTCTGAAAGCGTGTTGTAAAAACGGTTTCCTCCCTCCCCCTAGATAGATTTCGATTCTAAGAAAGGGCGAGTATACCCTGAAGAAGGGCAGGAGGAAGAGGAGAGCGGGAACCGAGTATCCTTCTATGCGGCTAACGGAAGAAGAAAAATGGCGTCTGGTGCTTGCAGAGGTGTGGGTGGATGAGAAAAGGCACGCTCCTTCTGACACAATCAATACCACCAATACTAGATACACGTGTGCACAGGTCTGATCTAAGTGTTCGCCTCGGTTTCACCGTTTCATCGTCTACGGTGAACACAATGTTGAGTTTCGGTTATCCGGGGTGGAATTTTTCTGTGAGCGATAAGTAACCAATGATAAATGTTTATATGCCTTTTCGCTATCTTTTCAGATAATGTTTATAGAGAAAGAAAAACGTACTTGTGAGTCGTCACCGCGTATTACATAATATTCTCACCGTTCCATGGTTCGGGCGCGAGATTGTGATATTAAAATTGGAAAACTGTTTTAACCCGTTCACTGCATTTTTTGTGAAGAAGCTATGCATTTTCAAAATGGCTATTTCAAAAGTTTATTCGTATTATATATTTTTAAGAAGATATGTTGGACGTATAGTTTGGCCGGAAACTTTTGGCCCGTACTGTATTTGTGCTGGCAATAAGTAGAAACGGCCTGCAATGAACAGCCGCATGTGCATCCAACCTTTTGCTTATCTCGAAAACGAAGTATCACTCGAAGAAAATGTTATTCATTCTTTCAACTTATTGTTGCATGTAGACTTATTTTTGCGTGTATCACGATTTTTTGTATACCCTGTATATGTATTAAGAAATTATACAAATGAAGAACTGTAGAAACTGTATGGTTTCATAGAATTTATTTTTTATTAATTAAATGTCACGTGAAAAAAAAACTAATCTGATTCCTTCTACATAGAGGAGACTTTATAACGAACTGATAAATCGTTCAAATTGTCTATTTATATTTGGATCGTACTGTATAATATTATCTATGCTATAAATTTATCTACGCTTTCGAACGAGTATGAAGTGTGTACTATGCGTACAGTAAACGGAAAATTAATGTAGTAGAATAATAAATGGTCAGTTTCATTTTTATAAAGATACATGTCAATAAAATGTGGTAATCAGTAAAACTTCTCAAATTAATTTTTAAATAAAATTGACGTATATAATGTTAGAATTATTTCGAACCTCATCGTATACGAAAATACCACAAATTAAAACAATTTAAATTTCACTTTTCTCGTCAGAACACGCAATGCTTTTGAGAGAATGTTGAAACGTCATTTGTTAATACAAACATGATTAAGGGAACGTTGAAAGTAAAGGCATTTTTAATTGTTTTTGTGTGTGGTAAATAAATGCATCGCATATATTCGAAAAATTACCTTTTTTCAATATGTAATTCTGGTGTGAATGACAATGCGAACAGTAATATTCATTGGTACTTACTTGAAAAAGTCGTCTTTGCAGAAAACATGGCCGTTCCTTGCGAAACATTTGCCGGTCAACCGTGCCCCGCAGTCGCGACACGTTAAACACCTTGCATGCCAACACCTTTCGAGAACCCTCAAAACGAATTTGTCCAAAATTGCCTCCTGACAACCGCCGCATTTCGGTATCGAAGCTGGAACAATCATAAAAATTGCATGCAATTAATATCACCAAAGATATTAAAACGGAAATGTGAATTAAAATTTTCTATGGCTTTAATAATAATTACAGTTTGATTCAAACGCGAATTCGCGAGTATAAACATACATAGTATAAACTAATTGGTGTAGTTTGGGAGTTAATAAATTAGTATCTTTAAATTTTAGGATAATTGATGGTGAGTAAAATGAGATTCCTTATGTAAGTTCAGATTTATTTAGATTATTTTATGAAAATGTAAGTGAAAAGAAATTTGTAACCCTAAGAATACTTCTTAATCGAAAAAGATCAAAAAGTGTGTAAAATTGTAACAGCGTTGAAGAAACTATAACGTGATCGAGTCAAGATAGATTCGAAGACCGTAGTAGGGTTAACCTTCATCCGGATAGAAGAGCCTCTGAAGCACACTTATTATTACATGATAAATAATATAATACAGTATACGTACAATAACATATATATATATACTAAATAATTAAAAATTAAATGCCACAATTTAGTAAATAAACTGAAATAAGTGAGGGAATTATTTCAGAATTATTAATTTCTGCTATACTGTACTGAAAGCTTCCGAGGCTCTTCTCCATTCTACCCCGATGAAGGTTAACCTCTTGCCATACGATTTGTTTTACGACTTCACTCTCAAGAATTACTTTATCGTTAATATATTCCCAGATACGAAAGAAATTTTATTCTTATGGCAAGTGTTACATTTATTCTAAACCTTAAAAGTTAATACCAGCGAAACAGTATTTCACGTCGGCTCAAAAAAAACGAATAACATACATGTTCATTAAATTCAGTTTGAAATCGTTATCACGTGTTTGACTCGATGTTGTAAGGGCCTTGAACCGGATGAACCTGAAGCCGACACCGTAAAATAATCACTTTGAGGCGATTCGCCCAGGTCTGACTCACTTACAATAGAGGATCTCGGGGATATGAGCTGGCAAACCGAGTTCTACGGCCCGCTGATCGAGAGGATGCATCTCGTTGTGGGTAGTGTCGTCGAAGCTGGAGATGTTCCCTGGATTCCCGACGTTGCTGTTCCGCCGGACGTTGTGGGACTCAGGACTGTCGTGTGGCGGTGTCAAGACATCTTGACGAGCGCGCCGATACATCCCTTCCAGAGGCAGAGCCTCCCGGCCCAGCATTTCCAGGCTTATCATAGTCATTTTTGCGTTTTGTAATCCAAGTTAAATGCACAAATCTCTCATTACTCCGACGACGTCAGTATCAGCAGATTTCGTTGACCAGGTGGTCTCGATTCATGATCGAACACTACGGTAAACAATCGATGAGAAATTTGATAACTTTAGGAAATTCCTGTCGAGTTCGTTGTGAATCGAGTTGAATTTGTTGTGTATTATCTTGTAGCTTTGATGTTGGTTACTTTAGAATTCATTCTCTAGTTCAAACTTCTGTCAATTCCTCCTCTTCGTAATATCTTGAGGCCTTGATATTATCTTGTGATGTTTCTGTCACCGTAACAGAATTAGGGTCCTCGTCAATACAATCATTCTTCTCTGTTATTCCCTTTCACTGTCTTTCACAATTGCACCACAGTTTCTGTCGTTCATTCCGTCCTCCAAGTTACAGAACTTAAACTTTCTATTCACAGATCGATAACACAGTTTATAACGTACTTGACAGTTCATTAAATAACTTCCATTCGACAATCCCTTCCAAGTATCATCAAGATCAATGTCTACATTGACCGTTCTCCAATCACTGTCACTTTCTTCGAGAAATCACAGCGTTTGATACAACTTGCTCCATCCAGATGACCGGCATCGACGTTTTGTCAACAATCTTCTTCCGCTTCAACCTCTTCCAGCCCAGTTACCTTCACTAACTATTACTGTCATCACAATAAACCGTATCTTCCAAGTCTCAGGATTAAATTAAGCACATCGATCTGAATGTTTTATCAGTCTATAGAACTACCGTTAATTAAGGGACTCGTTGATACCGATCTTTTGTCCCTGCACAATGTCGGTAGACGCTAGGTCAGCGAAACCAAACTGTCAACGACGGACCACGAACGATGCACCGATGCGGCCGGAACGAGGGCTCGCGGAGGACTGTCCCGACGACGTTACAGCTGCTCGTGCGCACGTGACTTTCGTGGGTGTGGCAGGGTCTGTGGTGGGGAACGCGGCAGGGTTATTGGGTGTGGTCCGCACCCACGCTTCTGAGGCTTCACCGCCGATTGGCGGGACGCTCGACCGCCCCCAATATGGCGACCGATACTACCGGAGCGGCTTTCGGGCAACCGATGCTCTCTCGGGCCGATACTGTGCGTAGGGGTGCCCGTGATGCGCCGTTGACACGACGATGATGCGCTTTGGGCGCTAGAGTGAAGCTTCTAGAAAGATGGTGGCGATCACTGGCTCTGACTGACCATGTGCGTCTGTTTCCTCTGTCAACTCTATGAATCTGTTTCGTCATCATCCACAATTTTCTTTTTATTAATTTTTTTCTTAGCTTTGGACTTAGATTACTCGACAGTTATACTTACGAGGAAAGGCACGGAAGTGTCCCCCTCCGATTTTTATGAAACTTCGTATGGCTGTTAAGCAGTTAAAAATGAGAGATACATATTTTTTTTATCGGCTGAGACGCGACTTTAAGGGGTGAAACCGACCCGAAAGTACTATCTCGAAAACTAGAGGAGATACATGAAAACTTCTAATGGACGAGATTTGCGGTTTTTTATGTAGAATAATATGGTGCTAACAAATTGTGCAAAATATATTTTGTTTATAACAAAAAAATTTCGGATCGAATCTTCAAGGGGTGGTTTCACCCCTTAAAGTTGCGCCTCGGCCGATAAAAAAAAATACGTATCCCTTATTTTTGATTGCTTAACAGACATACGAAGTTTCACCAACATCGGAGGGGGACACCTCCGTGCCTTCCCTTGTTAGACTTTGCAATATTCTTTGCTTTAATTTGTAACAATTCACGTAGAATAATAAATTCGTTTAGGGGATGTATAAATATGAATGTATTCAGCCATACCCAGAGTTAAGTAGGTTAATGAACACTACTATACTATTGCAACGTTATGGTATAAACAATACCAAGAAAGTGAAACGTAATCAGAGTTGAGCGCAATTTTATTCGAATAATCGGTACATATTGACAAGCAGTAGTATCTATAGATTGCCATCCTGGCCTTTAAACAGATAATAAGATGAAATAATTGTTTGCCAATTTTCTACTCATTGAAGAAAAAATATTATTTTATTATAAAAATCGGAAATTCCACATTTAATTAAATAATTTTAAATTAATGAATTTACCCATCTCTAAATGTAACTGGGATATATAACATTTTGACTAATACCCATTTTCTGCGCATTTATGAAGGGAAACTCTGCCATCCCAAAGTCGCAAAAAAAAATGATTACCACTCATAGAATACCCAATACATATTGTACCGATAACATGTTCAGTAATACCCATTTTCTGCACGTTCACGAAGACAGGACTCACCGTTCCCAAAGTCACGAAAAGAAAAAAATGTACAGACACCGTCCCCCACTTCTTGTTCCTATTTTTCATCCTCCTCGTCGCTCAATGCTGCTTTCCTGCATCCATTTCCACCGGCCACAGCTATGGGGTACCCTTCATCAAAATCGTCACGTAAAAGAATTCTCTTTTCCTCTCTCCCCCCCCCCTCTCTCTCTCTCTCTCTGTGTCAGGCTTTCCTTGGCGAGTTCCTTTGGCAGCGTCTAGAGAGCTGTGTCGATTGTGAAAGCAAGCGTCGCGGAAAGGCAAAGAAAGTGGGCGGCTGGCGATGGAGGACAAGGATGAGAAGATGAGGGGTGAGAGGCAACGGGCGAAAGAAGCGAAAAAGAGTAGAACAGCAGAAGATGCGGAGAAACGAGGCTGCGTAGGAGGGGTACAAAAGGATCCGAGCGAAATTAAGAACAGCCGTGCAAGAGGGTGGGAGGGTAGGGGGCGAGGGTCGCCATTTTATAATCTTAGTCGAGATCAGTCGTGTATACTGTACACTCTTTTTCTCAACCCTCGGTGATTCGAGCGCGCCCATCCACACCGAACCGAATAAGTCGAGGGGGTGGGTGGATGGGGGTGCAGTGGGGTCGACGTGTAAGTAAACGTATATAGATACGTCTACCACCATCAACCGGTCACAATTTTCAATACGCGGCTTTGTTTTTCTCGGTCGCGTCAGATGGCTCGTATCCTCTTTGTCCTTACATCTTGCTCCCCTTTCACCTTCCAGATGAAAGCTCCCCACCTACGCCCCCTTTTTGAAACAGTGAGCCACGAGAGCCTCGCGATTTTCTCGTGGCTTCGCGACCTCCTCGCCGATCGCGTTAACGGGGGTTTCCTCGCAGGAAAATGACGTTTGTGTTTTCTTTTCTTGAGAATATTATGTGATCATTGGAATGCGGATATTTATGTGAATACAGATGTATATTGTCCAATTTAGAAACAATAGAATCCTGCAGAAATTTCATTAATCTATTACTGGTTTTATTGGGTTGATAATAAAATGAAAATTTCATAGAATTGTATTAAATGTTTTGGTAAATATTTAGTAGTGCGTTTGGAATAATTATAAATACTGTAAATGCATAAAATCCGCCGTCTAGTGATTATTATCTGTGAACTAACTGTTCATCCCACTGTGACGTTTGTAACATAATTGTAATGTGACAAACACAACATTGTTGAATACCTTCAACTTTTAACTGTTCTCACCGGAAGAACTAGATACTTCATGTTTTTTTTACATAAGCGAAGTTTCCTAGACATTATAAATTGTAATTATGTAATAGTTTCGATGTAATCGTTAATAATTCACAAATGACTGAGTGATTTAAAAATAATATTTTTAATTCACCTGTAATGAATTTTCTGATGGTTTTGAATTTAATTCTGTTTGTTTCATGAGAATTTTATTTCAGACATACTTAGCTATGTATTACCATTTAATTA